ACGTAACTAGGTGCATTAAGATTCGGTGCATAAACATTAATGATGGTGATTGCTTCTTGATGGATCATTCCTTTCACCAGTATAAAATGGCCTTCCCTGTCTCTTTTGATGTTAGTTAGAATGAAATCTATTTCGTCTGAAATTAGGATAGCTACCCCAGCTTTTTTTTCTCGTCTATTGGCGTGAAATATCTTTTTCCATCCCTTCACTTTCAGTTTCTTTGCATCCTTTCTGGTTAGATGCGTTTCTTGTAGGCAACAGATGGTTGGGTCTTGTTTGATGATCCATTCTATTAATCTCTGTCTTTTGATTGGTGAATTTAGACCATTTGTGTTGAGAGTTAAAATTGAGAGGTTGCAATTTTGCCCTGCCATGTGATTGTGTTGTGTGTGTGTTGTTGCCTATGTAATTGTCTTGTTTGTGTGGCCTTTAGTTTGGAGACCTTCTTATTTGCCAACTTTGTTTGTGATTTGCCTCCTTTTTGTCCGGGACTAGCGCATTTCTAAGGAGACTTTGCAGAGCTGGTTTTGTGTAGACATATTCTTCTAGTTTTTCTTTGCTATTGAAGTATCTGATTTCGTTCTCATATACAAATGAGATCTTTGCTGGGTAGATTATTTTTGGTTGACAGTTGTTTTGTTTCAGGACTTGGAAGATCTTTGTCCATTCTCTCCTTGCTTGTAGGGTCTCTTCGGAGAAGTCAGCAGTGATTCTGATGGGTTTTCCCCTGTATGTGATCTTTTCTCTACTTCGTACTTGTCTCAGGATTCCTTCTTTGTCTTCATTGGAGTAGAACTTGAGCACCGTGTGTCTGGGTGAAGATCTCTTTGGATCATGTCTGTTGGGAGTTCTCTGTCCGTCCTGTATGCGGGGTGGATTTGTGTTCCAAGTGTTTTGGAAGTTTTCCTGTATAATTTCATCAAGCACTGCTTGCATCCCAGATTCTCTTTCTACTCCCTCGGGGAGGCCGATGATCCGAATATTCAGTTTTCTAAGGTAATCTTTCATCTCTTGCATCATTTTATTAGTTTTGCTGAGGTTTGTCTCCAGCTGTTTAATTCGCTGGACACCTTCATTTTGTGTGTCTTCTGTTTCAGAGATCCTTTCCTCTGCCGCATTTATTCTGTTGATGAGGCTTTCAATTTTATTCTCTTGGGCATCCAGTTTGGTTTTGATTTGTTGTATTTCGGTGATTATGCGGTTCTGGAGGTCTTCCAGCTTTGTGTCCACGTCTCTGAGAGATTTTAGCATTATTTTCATCAATTCCTTTGTTGGTAACACTTCCATGTCTTCATCTCGCATCGCCGATATTGATAATGGCTTTTGGCCCTTGTTTGGTGGGGTGCTGGCTCTTTCATCTGGAGCACAACTCTTTCTGGTGGTTTTTCCCATTGCGTTGGTGTATTCTGGTGGGGCAAATGGACCCGTGTGTTGAGGGGCTGTCAGGTGCTTTCCTGTAGAGATTGGAGCCTGCAGGCGTGGTGTTGCCGGGCGTGGTAATTTTCAAGGCACCGTTGGTGCGTTCTCAGGGCCCGGGGCTGTAGAGCACCACCTTGGGGGCCCAGTGGATTCCAGGCACACTCTGGGCACCTCTTCTACAGGTGTGACACCCCAGGGCGTGGAGAGATGGAGGCGCTCTCTGGGTGTGCCCCCTGTGCGGGAATCCCCAGGGCTTAGAAGGTTTTATGTGCTTTCTCCCTGCGTTCTCCGTGTCAGGGACTGCAGGGTTTTTCAGGGCCCACCTGGTGCGTCTTCCACACACGGGACTGTGGGTGAGGCACTTTCCAGGCGTGGCTCTTGTGCAGTGAATCCACCACTCGTGGTGTGTGGGTGTTCAGAGCCCCTGCTCCCGTGTGGCTCCCCCACACAGGCCCTTAGCGGAGGAGTGACCCAGGCGCCCTGTTATAATGACTTCACGACAGGTTCTCACCGTGTCAGTGTGATGCAGGAGTTTTCAGAGCTCTCCTGGTGGGTCGCCCACGCTCAGAACTGCGGGGTGGGAGGCTAGGAGTGAGCAGTTCACCCTATGGGAGTGGTACCTGCTTGCCAGGGACACACAGCGCTACACTTCCCAAAACTGGGAGCTCTCCTGACACCTGACACCTGACACCTGTGCTGCGGAGGCGGCTGCTGCAGGCATTTTTTTTTTTCTAATCGAAATTTTAATAAGCTTGTTATGCAGGGATACTAGGCTCTTCAGATGCCCCAGTACTTCCCCACCCACTGTGAGACCACCGCCTGGAGAACACTGTGCCCAAGCTACAGAGGAGAATGATGCCTCTTTACTTTTATGTCTGACAAAAGGGGGGAATGTGAGGAATGACGCAAACCTTGGCCTTGAAGAAGCCTGCCATTTTATTCTCAGTATCATTTTAAATATTTTCTTCCCTTAGGTCTCAGCTTCCTTAAAATCCCTGTGCCCTTTAGGACTAAACTGTGTTGTCTGCCAATCTGCTGTAACTTTGTAAAGTTACAAGACCTGTTCCCATCCAATCCGCTGTAACCTCAATGCACCTGACAGCCCTATCCACCAACCCCTCATAGCCCCTCCACCTGGCCCTCACCAATCCCTTGTGGTCCCGACAACCCTGTCCACCAATGCCTTCTGACCTGCCCGTGGCCCTGTCTACCAATTCCACATGGCCCCATGACACCCACCTCCAGCTATAAAAAAAGACATACTTCCTCGTGCAATCCCTTCGTGTGGGGTCCTTACCTCACCCCCTGCTCTCCTTCATTCTCCGCCTTCCCTTCCTTTGGCACCCCCTCCTGCCACTATGGCAGTAGACGCCTCTCTTCCCCCTGCCTGTTCTCTGCCTCCGCTTCAGTCCCCAAGACCTTCGCCTCTGCTGGAATAGAAAACCTTCCGCGTGGCTCCCTGTATCTGGAGTTTCGCCTTGTTGCAGCCAACTGAAAAGAGTTCATCTGAAAAAAGCTAACGGGGCCCGACGCAGTGGCACAAGTGGTTAAAGGTCCTCGCCTTGCACGCCCGGGATCCCATATGGGCGCCGGTTCTAATCCCAGCAGCCCCGCTTCCCTTCCAGCTCCCTGCCTGTGGCCCGGGAAAGCAGTCGAGGACGGCCCAAAGCTTTGGGAACCTGCACCCACGTGGGAGACCCGGAAGAGGCTCCTGGCTTCGGACTGGCATAGCATCGGCCCGTTGTGCTCACTTGGGGAGTGAATCATCTTCCTCTCTGTCTCTCCTCTCTGTATATCCGCCTTTCCAATAATAAAAATAAATCTTTAAAAAAAAAAAAAAAGAGCTAACGGCTACCGCAAAACCAGCTAACAGTTTGGAGTCTATCACTATTTCAAAAATGCTATTCAATCATACATCAGTTTACATAGTGCATTTGCTGTATGTCATTTGTAACTTTGATAAATGATGTCCCTAGTTTTAACAACACAATAGAAAAATAGATAAGGCGCAGTACTGTCTTTTGCATCCTTAGAAATCATCCAGCTGATTGATTTCAGTCCCATTCACCATGTTTAGGAAAAAGAATAACTTGTCTGATTTTTGATCTGATTAACTGTGGTTAGATCTTACTTTTATTTTTTCTTATAGCTACCTGTATTTGATAAGGAATATTATTAAATGCCTCATTGATTCCTGCACCTTTTTTTTTTTCATATCTACCAATCTACCATAATTCCCAAGATAATGATAGGATTATGTGAGAGTGTGGCTTAAGTCAATATTTAACAGCTCGTGATTGTAGAAGTTTATTCAGGATCAACCTTAAGTAATCTTGTCTATGGTCTCTTTATTTTGCTTTTGGCCTTCCTTGTGAAAGTAAGTGTTGCGTTTACTGGTTTTGTAGGCATTATTCTCAGTTATTCTGTATTCTCATAGTGACTCAGTGCCAGTCTTTAGATTTAGCATAGCTAACCTGATTTGGAACATGAAACAATTTCAAAAAGTTGTTTTCTATATATGTTTATTACAGTATTATTTACTAAAATACAAGCAACAGACTACTACTCAATCATAAAAAGGAATGAAATCCAATCTTTTGCAACAAAATGAATGCAACTGGAAACTATAATTCCTAGGGAAACAACCCAACCCCAAAGAGAAAAATGTCACATTTTTCTCTGATATCTGGTAGTTAATATGGGACATGAATAAAGTGTAGGAATTAAACTAACATTTTTTGATTTAATGTCTTAGCATATATCTACATTGTTAAACAATAGTGTTTCTGCTTTTCAACTTGAATGCTATGTTTAGTGAGGCATTAAATGTGTTATTAAAAGTAAGTTGGAGCCTAGCGAGGGGGCCCAGCAGCTAAAGTTCTCGCCTTGAATGCACAAGGATCCCATATGGGTGCCGGTTCATATTCCAGCAGCCCCACTTCACATCCAGTTTCTTGCCTGTGGCCTGGAAAAGCAGTTGAGGACTGCGCAAAACCTTGGGACCCTGCACCCGTGTGGGAGACCTGGAAGAATGTCCAAGCTCCTGGCTTCGAATCAGCACAGCATCAGCTCTTGTGGTCATTTGGAGAGTGAATCAGTAGACAGAAGATCTTTCTCAATGTCTCTCCTCCTCTCTCTATATATCTAACTTTGCAATAAAAATAATAGATAAATCTTTTAAAAAAAAGTAAATTGTAATTGTATTATTGTAAAAATTAAAGAAAAAATGGAAAGGAAGTGGTATTGAAAGAGAAGAAGAAAAGAATGTGTGATTATCTTCTTAGGTAATCTGTGAAATACATGAAATCTATTATCTTTATATTAATGAAAATTTAATTACACATTCTAACTCACCTTGAGTATAATGATGGAAAATGTCTTCCTATATTGGTGTTCACCCTGCTATTTAGTTCAGTGGTCATTTCATTTGATAGAGAACAAACTATGAATTATGGTATTTAGTTTTTGCCATTTAAATAATCAGTCATTGGCTTTAATTCCTCTTTGGGAGAAAACATCTCAGACACAAATAATTATAATCATCAATGCCATTGTACAACCTAAAAACCAACCATTTTCTTATAGTTACCTGGCAGGGGAAATACCATGATCCTGCAGGTGGTTTTCCCAGGGCGAGGCTCATCCATTGCACTTGGGATGTGCTGACTTCTGCAATTTCCCAAAATATGGGAAAATCGACTGCATAATTTGTGGTAGTCGGGTACTGTGTTCACGCTCTCCTCTGAAAAACAAAACAAAACAAAGTGAAAAATTTATTTTCTTGGGTGTTTTGTGCTAGAAATAACCACACAAAATATCTTTAATGTTGAAATGCTATAGCAAGTTGATTTGAGGGTGTTAATATTAATATTATAAATATTTTATTTTATAATACCAGGTTATACTTATCCTTGATTATTTGTAAACTTGTTTATATGCCATTTTAAAATATAAACACATTAAAATGCAACAGCTTCTAGAAGATTCTACACGGCATTAGGTCTCACACTAAATTTGGATTTCATTGGTGCTAGATTGTATTTTTTGCTCCTGAGTCACTGGTTCTACTAGTGTCTTAGTTTTGTCATCTGTGAAAACAAATGCAATGAAAACACCTACCTCGGCTATTGACTTAAAGTGGCACTGAGGGCTTCCTCTCACAGGTAGGGAGCATTGAAAACCTCTTCCTCCAGCTGTTTGAGTAAATAACTTTTTATACAAAGAACAAAAATAAAACCTAGATGAGCACGTCTTCAGGTGCCAAAAAGTAACATCTTTTTTTTTAAGTGAGCGTTACTTGTTGATTTATATTTAAGCTAATTATTTATACATCCATTTATCTGCTTTTAAAGAGGATTGTTCACAATTTCTGACTTAAATGCAATGAGTCTTCAGATGAATTTTTGAAATATATTTATGTATGTATGTATGCATGTATGTATGTATTTATGAAAGGCAAGAGAAACACAGATAGTCACAAGAGCTATAGCTGGGCCGATCAGAAACCAGGTGCCAGGAGCTTCCTCCTGGACTCCATGCATGTGCAGGATCCCAAGGCTTTGGGTCATCTTCTGCTTTTTCAGGCCACAAGCAAGGAGCTGGATGGAAGTGGCACATCAGGGACATGAACTAGATCCCAGTGCATACAAGGCAAGAATTTAGCAACTGAGCCATCATGAAAGGCCCCAAAATTAACATCTTAAAACCACATGGTGAAAGCTTTTAAAACTCACAAAAATCATAATGACATTAAATTGGAGTATGCAATTAAAGAATTGGAACAGGAGGTAGGGTAAATATAATAATCGTACTGGCTTGTTCTTTGTTAAGTGTCATTAAGTGATTTGGAGGAGCCTTTTGTTGGGATAAATATGTCAGCTTGTTTTAAATGGACATTGGATTGGATTGTATCCAACAGTATTGTTATTTTATTTTGACACTTGAATGTTTGAATAACATGAATGTATTTTCTACATAAGACTATATTTGTATGTGTGAATGAATATGTGATTGAATTGCTATAATCTCTCTCTTTTTTTAACAATTTATTTATTTTTATTGAAAAGTCAGATATGCAGACATTAGGAGAGACAGAGAGGAAGATCTTCTGTCCCATGATTCACTCCCCAAGCGGCCGCAATGGCTGGAGCTGAGCCAGGAGCTTCTTCCTGGCCTCCCACATGGGTGCAGGGTCCTAAGGCTTTGGGCCATCCTCGACTGCTTTCCCAGGACACAAGCAGGGAGCTGGATAAGAAGTGAAGCTGCCGGGATTAGAACCGGCACCCATATGGTATCCCGGGTGTGCAAGGCGAGAACTTTAACCACTAAGCCCAAAATTGCTATAATTTCTTACATGGTTTTGGACTTTTATCTTGTTGTATGCACTTTAGGCTTGTACTATTAGGGTTCCTTTTCTCAGAGAATATTCAAATGTTTATAGCAGTTTTGGAAAATGGTTTGCAAATCTGCCAGTTTTGTGGATTCATAGCAGTATATATTATATTAATATAATCTGTAGTTTAATTAAAATAATATCCTTGCCCTATAATATTTCCATTGATAGTGATGGGCTCTGATTTAAATTTTAATGATATTGCTGACAGTGATTTTAGGAATATCAGCTTTCAACCCAAATTTTGGAACCAAAAGACAAACAATTGTAAGTGACTGCAAATGCTCCTGACAAGTAAAAGGGTGTAAGCAACAAAACTTTGAACGTGGAAAGTATAAATGAAATGTATGAGGAATGTTATTAAACATTGGTTTTTGAGTCATGGAGATCTATTGATGTGGTAGTACCCCAGGAAGTCATAAAGTATTAATGGATGGTAGGTTATTTGTTAAAAATGTGGGATCCATCCAATTTAGGAAAACATGGAAAAAGTTAACCAGTTTGTAATGAGTGAGCCCTGCTATTTTGTTTGTTGCTTTATTTTATGCCACAGTTTAATTGGCACTGGGGTCTCCTTGAACAAGCCTGAGCTTGTCTGATCTCGGCAGCTAAGCAGGGTCAGGCCTGGTTAGGACTTAGTTGGGAGAGCCCTGCTATTTTTAACTGGATAAGTAAACTATTAAGATTGAGTAGTACCAAATCAAGGAGGCTACTACTTCTTTCAGGAAAGGTATCACCCAAGCCTGGATCCTGTTCTGATGATCAATATTTAAATATATAACAAGTTTGTCATAGGAGGTTGATAATACATTTCCCAAAATTCTACAAAATCTGACATACCAGTAGGGTAGAATCTGGCAAAAGCAACCCAAGGAAGAGTGTATTGAGTAACATGACACTGTACTAAGAGTCTCAGAGCCACTTGTCTGGATTTAGCAACACTCAAACCTCAATTTTATCTGTAGAGGGATTAAATTGGCTTTCTTAATAACACTTTAACATGAGCATTGATGAGAATTGTGTTGTAATAATATCGTGCATTTGCTGTGATCCTGACAATAATATATTAATCAATTCCTTAAGAAAAAGAAAATTTAATAAATATTATAATGAAAGAAAATGAATTAGAGTCCTAAGGAAAAATACAATATTATGAAACTTCTAAAATGAGCAGAGCATTTAAAACAGACAAATAAAATGTATTATGCTCCTAAGCTCACCTGCGAGTGAGTTAAAAGAATAAAAAAAGTTATCGTCTGGAAACTTGTTAGAAATCCAGCTTAAAATATTTTTGTTTTTAATACAAACAGAACAGATTTTATGCATTCCAAATGTATAGTTCAAAAAGCAAATCACACTTTCCTTGCTCTCCTGATTCCCAATTGCTAAACCCCTTCCCTCCTTTCTTTCTCTTGAACAATAGTTGCAAAGTCTTTTTTTTTTTTTTTGAGAAAGTCTTTAATTGGAAAAAAGTCAAAACAAGGGAATATTTAACCCCACAAAAAGCTCTTAACCACTAAAATTATAGAAGAAAAGAATATCTTAAATAGAAAAATAAAGTTGAGGAAGTGCCCCAGAAGAAAGAAGAATTTATATTAGATTATTTCAGAAGGTTCAACATCAAAATAAGCGTATTTTTCTTTTCTTTTTTTATTATATATATATTTTAATTGCATTGTATTAATTGTCATCTACTTTGTGTTAATAAGCTTCATCTTCCATTAATCATAATATTCAACATGTAAAAAGTTAAAGGCCGAAAGACCACATTTCAACTTGGGCATGTAAACACAGGGTAAAAATGACCATCCTATCACACATTTGGCTTATTTCACCAAGCATAATGGTTTATAGTTGCATTCATGTTGTTGCAAAAGACGAAAATTAGTCTTTTTTTTATGGCTAAGTAGTGTTTTATAGTGTATTTAAACTATATTTTCTATAAAGCAGTCAGTAGGACCTGAGATTCATCTGGGCCGTACAAGAAGAGTTTTCCTAAAGAAGACAAGGTGTGCATATGACTTTAAAAGTAAATAGAGCATTAATAAGTAATCAGAAGAATACAGTAGCCTGTGTTATGGGGAAAGGTATCTGAGGTGTCAAAACAGGATGATGGGGAGTTATAGACAACAAATTGAGGTGTAGCTAGAGGCTTGTAAAGCAATATAATCTATGCCAAGGAGCTTAGATTTTATCCTGAAGTTATTATGAGGTCAGAAAATGCAAAGGCAGATTTGATTTAAATTTTTGATAGATTTTCTATTTCTTAAACTCTGTGAGAGAGAGAGAGAGAGAGAGAGAGAGAGAGAGAGAGAGAGAGAGAGAGAATGGGAGAATTTCTAGCCACTGTGCATTTTCAAATGCTCACTGCAACTGTAGCTGGACTAGAAATCCTACTCTGGATCTCTCTGTGGGTGGCAGGGTCCCCTGTACTTGAGCTGTCACTGCTGCTTTCCCAAATATGGATTAGTTGGAAGCTGGAACTGGAAACAGGAACTCTCATATGGGATGTAGGCATCTCAGGTATCACCTTAACTGTTGCGACAAATGGTTATTGAGAAATTGTGTTTTTAGATTTCTATATAGGCAACAGAAGAGAAATAAAGACTTGGGAGGAAAACCACATAGAATGGACCCATTAATATGATCTTTCAGAGAAGACGTGTTACCTTGAATTAAGTGACTGGCATTGCTTGTGTACACAGAGAGTATGCAATGATTATAGGTGTTGTGGGTATTGTGCTCAATAAAGGCTTAGCTTTTTGAATAAATTACAAAGGAAACAATTTTGCTTCCGATAACAATTGACCATTGAATAGCATTGGTTAGAACTGTGAGGGCTCACTTAGACACTGTGTGTGTGTGTGTGTGTGTGGCATGTGTATCTTTCAACAACTAAGAAACAATCCACAAATGAATTGAACAGTAGCCTAGAATTACGAAAGTAAGAAAAAGGGTTATCATGTGTACATAAAATACATGAGAATAGCACTATTTTATTGTTCACAGTTGCTAAATATGTCATAAAAATTAAAGTCTATCAAAGCATAAACACTTGTAGACTCTACATGGCACCATTCATAGTTGAGAAAAGTGTAAACAAACATGAAGATGCAACAATAAATCACAAGTGCTTAAAATTAGCTGCAGTAAACACTGTTTTCCTGTAATTGTTTTGTGGCTGTCTCTTGCTACTATTGCATTGAGCTCTTGTGGGTACCTCGTTGAAGTCCTTGTGACACTAATCACCTCAGTCTAGCTGTTGATGTCTCCAGTAAGTCCTATATTATAACAAAAAGTGGTTTCTCATATTTGTGTTTCTTGTATAATTTTTACTGAATTTACTGCATATA